CAAATCTTGCATTCCTGATATTTATTATCAAGGGAACAAGGTAATAGAGAAATTTCAGTCAGTCCAAAGAGGAATGAATGTTGTGTAGAAAATTAGACATAGGAATGTGTGGATGCAGTTAGTCATCAAATATATGCAGGACATTTAAAACATTTAACATTTAAAGTAAAACAAAAAAATTACTTACAGATTAAATGTATAAGCAGAAGCAAAACTCGAGTCTAAAATTAAGACCAGAATATTTGTTTATGGCAGACACCTTATATAGTACTAATATATGAAATGTGTAAGGGTTAAGACCGATCATACTGAATACCATTTCTTTTTTTTTTTCAGAATTGTTTCTGTATTTGATTCAAATTTTGTGATAGGCTCCTTTTAAATAATTGCTAAAGACAGGGATCCGTTATGTTTTTTTCCTTTGTCTTTAATAAAAACTGAAAAGAGAAATTTGCATCTAAACAGGGTACCCTTGAGTCTAGACCTTTACAAATACCTTTCAGCAGCAAATGCTTTGGGGAATCTATATTTTAACACATTTGTACTTATAGTAACAATAATTTTTACCATTCTTGTTTGTAAAAAAAACTGAAGCTTGATCAGTCTGGATGGTGAGCATCTTGCAAACAACATGATGAAAGCATTGGCAAGAAATATCCTTTGGATTGGTCATTCTAAAATAATGTGCTGCTCTAACTAAGCCATTGAGATTGGCCAGATTTTTGGAGAAAATCTGATTGTCTTTCTGACCTCCCAACTGATCTGATAATCTCTTTAGCTCCCCCTGAGTAACCAATGGCTTTTTTGATACTTTACACAGATTATGCATGATAACCTTCGCTAAGGGGGTTATGTTTTTAGCCGAGTTTGTGTGTTTTTTTGTTGTTGTCTTACTGTAAACATGAAGACTTGAAGATTTATAAATGGATTTGAATGATTTATTTATTTTGTTTTACCAAAGGTGCACCTCATTCCAATGAACGACCCATTAAATTCACATCATAATCCAGATGCAGGAATTTTTAAAAGATATTTTAACATTAGTTGGCAGAACAAGCAGTTCCCCCTAAACCAGAGAGTGGCAGCAGTAACTATCGACAGCTTCAGCATTGGACTGAAGAAGTCCAGAAGTATTATAATGTAGAAAAAAACACAGGAAAGGGGAGCAATGCCTAGCTTGAAGTCTCATTCTGCTGATGAAACAAGAAAGCAGAGTGCAGATTGAATGAAGAGGGTGAGAGCAGAACAAACACCAGAGGCTGCAGACACACAATACACTTTATTTATAAACCTATGAAAATAATCTAAGAAAATTGTTACCACAAGTGCACTTCATACCAATGAACAATTTATTAATATTTGGTAATGACCCAGATCATATGTGAAAGTTAGCTATGCATATTTCTTTATATGGGGCAAAATTTGCTGCTTGGCGGAGGTATGCACTCCCCGAATGCTTTCTAGTTTCTTGGTTGATTTGTTCCATTTTGGGGTCATTGAACATTATGTGGAATATTGCCTTTTAAAACATATACCTATTTTCACAGTCTGAGACACTGGTCTTTTATTTGAATCACAAAACACCTTTTAAATCAAAAGAGGACATTTCAGCAGTATGATTTTTCTGTTTTTCTTTTATAGTCACAAATAAAATGAAAATCTGAAAAAGGAAAACAAGGGTGGTGTATGCTGTTTTATCCTCGTATTCTATTTATTGTTTTTCATATCAACATCTAGTCTGTCTGCTGTGTTTGTTGGCCCTAGTTAGTTTTAATTAGTTTTTCATTTTTAATTATTTTCTTCTGTAATGTTTTTCTTTTTCTAACCAAACCTCATTCATACAATCAGGTATGGTCTAATTAACAAATTTGATTGTTTTTAAAGGGAGGCAGTTTCAATGGATTATCTGAGAAAACGGGATCATCAGCAATGCACCGTTTGGATTCTTCTTCAAATCTAAATAAAGAAAAATGACCTTTATATTGATAACATCAAATTTGAATTATAGACACTGGATTTTGTGGCTATAATTTAACAGAATATGAAAGAGGTATGAAAACGTTTGAAAGGTTCTGTAGGCTATTTATGCTCTGTATATAGACACTCAGTAAATAAAATATCTTGCTGCCACACTGCAGCTCCTGTAGCAAACTTTTTTTTTTTTTTTTTTTGGTAAACCAGTTTGTTGTTTGTCTGATCTGTCTTTAAACATATTTCCAACAAGATAACTTGAAGAAATTAGCTACTTTATCTCTTTGCCAGTGTCTGGTTGATTGGTTTATCAGGAGATAAACCAATTGACTTCTTGCTCCGCTTGGTGTGTAGTGTTATTGGTCTGCTTTTCACTTCGATTATTCCACACTATAATAGAGAAGAATGGTTCATGCTGGTGTCATATTGTATAACATAGAGATCTACACTTGATGTATTTTTCTTGGAATCCACTTGAAAAGAGTCTTGCACAGTTTTTTGCTCTTCAACTTTGTCTTTGTGAAGTTCTTAAAGAAGACGTTTCGCAGCGGGCCAAGGTTTGAGCGCTCAGCTTGATGTGCAGAAAAACTGTTCCTTTCAGTCGGTGAGTAATTCAGAACCTCCATGAAGTGTCTCTCCTGTTGCCTGAAGTCATACTCAACACTGGATGGAGACATGAAAACATATGGAGATGACTAAAGTGCAAGAGATCAAATATGACACTTTTCTAGGAATCCAAGAGAGAACTAAAGAATGTATCAATGATTTCCAGGTCATTTGTATGGACTTCAGGCTTTTTATGCTACATATAATTTCATAGCTGCTCCAGACAATTAGCGCTGTGAGATGATATTACTTTTGTGCAACTTTCTTTCTTATCTGACTTTAGAAATGAATTATTATTTTTGACATGATACATTTACAAGTATGGCACCCATTTCCTTCAAAAGAAAAACATCTTTGAATTTTTCATCTCTGATTTTAAGGGCCAGATGCCAACATGCAGAATCTAGCACTTCAACATCTTCCTGACACTCAAAAGCGGTTTTGAATGTAAGTAGATGAAAAGATATGTTTTAAATATTTCACATCATAGACAGTTTTAGGTTTCACTCAGACAGTACATGGCTTTTTTGTCGGGATGATGGTAAGAATACATTTAGATTTAACAACCTCACTTACCCTCCTTCCTGCTTCCAGCATTTCTAGGGCAATTGTTAAAGTTTTACCTTTTGTGCTGCCCACACATGATGCAATGTCTCTGCAAATGAGTGCAAACTAAGATACATAATATGAAAACAAAAAATAATGAAATGAATCCTAATTAAATGCCACATGAGCAACGAAAAAGCCATTATAGATCTAAATCATATTGTATTGAACACTAAGACTTAAGATGACAAAATTACCAAACTATGAATAAACATAGAGTTTGTACATATTCCCTCACAAGGTAATTTCTCCTAAAAAGGAGCAATAAAAACGGTAGTGGAACTTAAACTAACATGGTTTTGTATGTAAATTTACAAGTAAAACCATGAAACAAAAATTATTTTGAGATGCTTTGTTGCTTGAGCCACATTCAGGCAGGAGCGAGACAAGATCAAGTCCATATGTATATCTAAAAAAAACTGTAAACACAACAGGAAAACAGAAAGTGACAAAAAGAGGTAAAAAAAGAAAAGAAAAAAAAACTTGACATGAGATGTTAAAAACAAGAAGATCTGAAGATGACGGAAAAAATTAAACAAGGAGGGAGTGTTCACTGCTAGATGAAACTAAGGGAACTTATGTACTATATAAGCAATGTTATCTAGGGGCATTTCAAGAATAGTATCATATTCTTAAAATTATGTACATTTAATGAACAAGTAATTAAGGTTGAAATTCTTTTTGACAATTTTTTCAAGTAGTCTCTTAATCCTAATTTCATTCTAAGAGCTAGTTCACTGGACGTCATTGAAGAGAAAAAGAAAGCATCATGTAGGTGCAAAATATGCGCAACAATGCTCTCTTTGGTTTATAGTTTGATTTTATTCAAAAATACTCAATGTTGCTACCTCAACTGACACTCTTCACATCAAAGTCATGCACCCCTTTCACACTGGTTTAAAAAACTTTTTCAATCCTGGAACAGTCAGCTTTTAGTGGCAGTGGGAACAGCTCACTGACCTGTTTCGACCTGGGTCAAACAACTTGACAAATCAACCCATGTTAAAATGGCCTCGGCTCTGATCGGCATACAGTAAAAAAAAACAGACCCGAGTACACTGGCTAAAAATGTTTTAACCTAAATTACCTGAGATATACTGTTTGATTAATAAAGTTATTTGTTCTTCTTTCTTTCCATTGGCTTGTTCAGATAAAAGGTTCTCACATTTAAGACCAAGAAGCACCATATATTTGCAAATTAACTATGGTTATTTCACACCAAAAAGAGATACCTCTGTTATTTAAATGTGTAAATAACTTTAAAATCAAAGATTTCATTATTGCCTCACCTGTACATGATACAAGCAGTCTTCTGGCAAGTTGAACAGTTTTTCAGGTCAAGCCCACTTTTGCAACACCTCAGCCTGAAAACAGACAAAATGAAATCGCTCTTATAAGTCACAGCTTTCCAGATAAATATTTCAACCTTCATATCTTCTCTTCCTGAATTCGTTCAGACTGATATTGGCAAAGATGAGGTGCCTAGCAGGAGTTTTAGGTAGACATTGGCCTCTTATTAGTAGTCAGTTATTCTGAAAGATGACCTTAGAGGCAGTCACAAGTTATTAGCACACAGCAGCCAGTGAGAATGACTGACAGAGACACTTTGCCAGAAGGCCGTTTTAATTCCCCCTCTTTTTCCCAGAAGAGCTGTGTGGCTAAATAAATCTCTATGAGACTTGGCCCCTTGAATTGCCCAAGTAGGTTTCTGTCACACTCAAACACACAGTCACTGACCTGTTTGCAAGGTTTTAATTATGTTGCAGCCCCACATCATTACAATGAGAACCGTGACCTATAGAACATTTGTCACCCAAAGTCACCTCCAAAGCACAATTGTGAAAACCGTTACATCATTTATTTGTTTTTCTTTTTGTGTTTTTAATTTATTTCCATTTTTTATGTGCCTTTTATGATTGGTGTCTTAACAAAAATTTGAATATTTGAATATACTATTTTCAGCTATTTAAGTAAACTAGTTTAACATCAAACTTAAACATTCAAGAAAGTGAAAAATGTCTTCTATTCCAAGGATTTCAAGGTTGTAATGTTGGACTTGTCATCAGTGTATCATTGAGGTTTTGGGCAAAAAAACAATGCTGTAAAGTAAAGGTTTAGAGTTACAGCGGCAACTAGTGGAACCCTATATCAAGAAGGATTACTGCACTTGACTTCTCACTTAGTAAATGCAGCATTATTTCAAAATGTAGCGTTTTGATATAGACATGGACCAAGCTATGCAAACAGGTACCATTTAAACCTGTAGAAAAATTGTACTGCAGTAGCCAAGTTTCAACCCATAGAGGTCAGCATTAAGGCACTTTTAAATATCGCTGAGGGTAAACAAAAATATCAATATTTGTATAATAACATAGCACTCTTAAGGCTCAGGTCATACAGTTTTTTTTTTCTGCAAAAAAGTTGATTTTCAGATTTAGACATTTTTCACCCAACAGATTAAAAGAAATTCAAGGAAAAAGTTCCTTCTGTATCCTTATCTCACCTGATGCTTTTTTCTTCAGTTTTAAGTCACAATTATTTATCACCATGAACCTACAGTGTCAGTGTTTATATTTCATTTTCAGAGCTCTTACAATTCAAAATGTACCTGATGAGGGTTTGTTAAAAGATTATAGACTAGTCATTTTAACCAGTTGTAGATAATAATTTTTGGGTTCTTCATTAGGTGTAAATCGAAAGAAGCTGATCTTAGATTGAAGCTGATGATGAGTGATGCAAGAGATGTCAAACCAAAGTAAACTTCTAAGGGTTTTAAACAGCTCCAAATACAGGAAGTCCTATAGTATAAGAAACAATATTTTATAAACCTTTAGATCGTTGTTACATTTGCTCCTGCTAATTAAATCAGAAGGCAATTATTAGCTACATGTAAAACAAATGGAGTAGATGATGTGCCACCAGCTTCTATGTGAAACAAGGACTGAGAATGGGGCATGGAAATTCAATTTATTCAGTCTTATTTAACTCAAACATATTTTCGTTAGGTCACATACAGTGAAGTGCAAAATGTTGTAACAAAATAACAATTTCTTAGTATCAAATAAGTTAATTAGTTATACCAAAACTTACTCTAAATATATTTAAAATAGGTATTTTTTAAACTTACAAAATGTAAGGATGACATATTAACCGACCTTAAGAGCCAGCCACTTTGCACTGTGCTTCTTAGGGCAGTACAAACCAACCTCTTCAATAGCTGTGTTTTTTTTTTTTTTTTTTTTTTTTTTGCATTGATTTACAGTAGTAATTGTCTCAGTTAAGAGTTAAATGATTTATTGGGCTAAAAATAAAGTAGTTTAAATTATTTTATACTATCTTTTTATTCACTGCATAAAATTTTTGTCTGGTGTTTTCTTATAAGAGAATGATTAGTGGGAGGTGGCGCCTGACCTTTATTTTGCATGTGAATAATCATCAGCTTCTTTGACAACAGTTTTAAAGTTCAAAATGGCTTTGACATAAACGGCTGTTTATGGCTTAAAGAAGTTTTTAAGGTGGTAAATGTCAGTTCTCAGACTTTACATTTGCTTTGGCCACAGGACCAACTAACAAATCAAGTCAGCTTTATTTATATAGTATATTTAGTAACAGGAAAATTCAAAGTGCTGCACATGAAAAAAAGAGAAAGAAGCTTAGAAAAGGTTCATTATAGCTACATAAAATTTATTTAATACTCAATAAACATGAATAATTAAATTGAATAAAAAGGAATAATTGAAATGAGAAATGATTATGAAAAAAGCTAAAATACTGATAAAAAGATGACAGGGAAGCTGGACTGCATACTTAACAAATCATATATAGAGAGAACAGTCATAGGCTACTCTAAACATTAAATTTGTCATTTTGATTTAAAGCAAGTTATGATTTTTAGCACCTTTACAATTTCCTGGGGTTTTACTTCAGATTAGTGGAGAACTAAAAGTTGTTTCTGGGTATGCAGAGCAGATTTAAGCTACCAGACATAAATGTTCTGGGCGGTTTATCTACTGACAACAAATCAGTAATGCATTTTGGTGCTAAGCCATTTGAATTCTTGAATTCTTCTGTTTATAGAAAAACAGAAGAATTCCAAAGTACTTTCTGTGAAATACAGCAATGCCCATTGGTTATAAATTTAACATGAGTCACACAATAATTCTGTTTAATCATATATGGTGTGCTAGTTTTTCACCCAGCTACCAAACTGTCACTGAAGCACCCAGACTTACAGGCTGTTGGGAGAGTTGCATGTCTCCAGGTCCTGAATGATGTTAAGCAGGGTGGTGATCCTGTCCTTGTTGGCTGCCAGGCTGTCCTCAACACTTCTGAGCCTCTGCTCCAGACCTGCAGAGCTGCAGCATTGCGGGGAAGGCGGGAGCAGTAGGGCTACATCAGAAGGATGGGAGTGAAACAGCTTAGAGCCTCCTGGGCCTGACTGGGGAGCTCTGGGGCTAAACTTTAAATCTAGTCTTCTGATTGCCTCCACCTCTCTGGACTGGAGGGGGGGACATGATTTAGAGGGCAGCTCCCATTCAGGGGCTGTGTGCAATGGTAGCCCTCTTTCAGTGGTGAGTGTTGCTGGCACACTGACAGAACGTTCTGGAATTGTGTAGTTTTGCCTTTGTAATTTAATATCAAAATGGGAAATCTGGCAGTCAGTTGACTGGGTAATGGGGTTCACCTGTGTGTTTGTTTTTGAGAAAGTGGAATCACCGTTAGCTTGTGCTATGACTGGGTGGGAAAAATAGCCAGGATGCTTTTGCCTATCTAAACTGGATTCACACTTTACATCTGCATGGCTGTTTACTGCACTTAAAGCAAACTGTTGTGCATTTGAATCTGAGTCCCTGGTTGTTCGTCCCGGTGGGATTGTTGCATTGTGTCTGTCTGCTTCCATGTGACCTTGATAATGTTGTCTTTGTTGCTCTCTGTCCGGATTAGCCCAGAAATTAAAGGTGCTTGGCTTCATTTGTGAAAAGCTATTCTGACGTTTAGTGATATGTGAACATTTTGTATTGTCACGCTCTTTGCACTCGTGCATTGCAAATTGGTTGATTGCATTATCTCTAAATTGGCTATCATCAAACTGCAGTTCCGTAGTGGGAGTTATTGGAGGACTAGTGCGGTATGTTTTAGCATCACTACCTCTGTTAACAGATTCCGACATATTTTGCAGAGTTGTTAAGGAGTTGCTCTGCTGATTGGGAAAGACAACCTGAACACAAGGTTTAATACTGTCTTTACTTTTGACGTCTGGTTCTTGTGTGTGGTGGGCTTTGTTTTTGTCACTTGGTTCGTTGTTCCATTGTACCTCATTTGTTTCTGTTAATTTAAGCAATGATGCACTGGATGCTGCAGTACTACCTCCCATCTCTCTTGATGGTGTAAGTAGAGAACTTGCCTGGAATGTTGTTTTTTTCAGTTCAGGTTTGATGGACCTGCATGCTGTGTTTTTAGATTCTGTGGAATGACTGGCAATATTAGCTACTGGTGATTCAGGTCCGCAGTCAGGAGATTTAGATACACCGGGTATTTTGTTTGAAGACGACGTAGATATATGCAGTGCAGGATTACAGTTAGAGAAGGTAAATTGAGCTGAGTGGATTTGTGAAGGAACAGCTTTATCTATGCTGCTTTTACATGTAATTTGATCTGGATTAACTTCATGATTTAAAGGGATCTTTGGGACAGCAGCGCTTTGGAATGAATGCAGAGCAGGTTCCTGAGCTGGATTAACAGAAGCGGGAAATTGAGCTTCGTTGTCAATAAAATACTTTTTATCTGGTGATGCACTGACAGCACTTATCGAGGGCTTTTCTTTGCATATATATAAATCTGGTGGGGACCCTATCAGTGTGAGGTTTGATGAGGGTTCTGATTTAAAAATTTGTGCCATGTGTGTTGAGTTCAAAGTTTTTTGCTGTGCACTGAGATTACAGGTAGTGGATGTTGTTTCCAAATTAAAAGTTTTCTGTGGAACTGCACTGGATGTTCTTTTAGTCCCTGTAGCTACAGGATTCAAAGATAAATCTGGGCTCTTAGGTGCAGTATGGACAGAGACGGATACATTTTGAGGAATATTGTCCAGAAGAGAGTTGCAGGGCGATGTTTTCAGGCCCTTAGGGGAGGTTTGAAAAGTTTTGATTGCCGTGGCCATCAGAGGGGTAAAATTAAGGAGGGGGATTTTATTTTCCTGCATGGAATTTGTGACGCAGTTTATTGTGCATTTCTCCTGTCTGCTTTTATTTGTGGCTTCAGCAACTATAAGAGCTTTACCATTGAGGGTGGCTTCAGGTTTTATGGATGTTATGTCACTTGAAGTATGTGCATGAAAAAGATTAGCTAAACTGCCTCTGGAGTGTACTGGACATGCAGGGTGGGGTGTTTGTCTACATCTTGGCTCTTTATTAAGATATAATAGGTGAGGGTCACATGTCTTTGTTTTTTTAACTGATCGGGTCTGAGAATTTAGATGATTTTGTTTGAGTATGTGAGGAAGCGTATGTGAGGCTGTAAACAGAGATGTGAGGGCTGGCTTTGATGGTTTCTCTCCAAAGATTGTATCGGAAATGGGGCTGTTCTGCCCCAGGATGTTGCCTCTGGACATTACAGATTGCTTCTCACCACCGTAGTTGTACATTTTTCGCACCATAGCCAGTGATAATGACTGCATCTTTAAAGACTGATCTGTATAGGGATGATGTAGGTCTCTGTTGTGAGAGCTTGCAGCATTCAAAGGCTCTGTATCATCATTAACGACGCTAATTCCACCAATTGCCTCTGAATCAACCACACTGCCATTGATATAACGACTGGATGGTTTCAATCTGTTGCTGGTAGTGCCTGCAATGAGGGGATTGGTTTTAATTGCCCTGGCATAGCAGTAAGTCCCACCACTTCTCTTCTGAAAGGCAGCAACATCATTTGAGGTGACAGCTCCAAATGCTTTGAAAGTCACTTCCTTCTTTATCTTGGTTTCCTCAGTTTTCAGCCTTGAAATATTCCCTTTCTCTTTGTCATTCTTTATGTGAAGTGATACAGCCTTGGTTTCCTTGGTGATAAAGCTGTCGGTTGTTTGCAGAATGTTGTTTGAGAGACTGTCAGGTAGTTGAATGGGTGTTCTGCTAATCCCTGGAGATGTCTGAATGCCAATGGTGCACTGTCCCCAGGTCTGCAGCAGGGCTCCTCCGCTTCTGTCTTCTCCTGTCATCTTCCAGCTCCGCACCCCTACAGTGGCAGGGACACCCAACACTGGAACCGGAGTCGTCAGGTCAGCTGCTCGCCTCCCCATTCTTCCTTTGGCTTCCTCAAAAACTGGAAAACTCCAAAGAAGGGCAATGTTTTAACACTGTTTCGTCTGCCTGGAACCATAAGAGGGAAACATTTACTATGAGTGATGCCTGACATGGTGCTTTAAACCATATCCATAAATTAATGCAAACATTTGGAAAAGAAAAAAAAAAACAAAAAACACTTCTTTAGCAGAAAGGATAGAGATGTTGAACTGTTAAGAAACTAATTGCAATGAAATAAATATTTGAGCAATCTTTCACTGAGATTAGAAAAGAAATAGCTAAACAAAGTAAATGAAAAGAAAGGATTAGTGCTGAGAAAGAAAATCACATGTTGATAAAAAATTTAAAGTTCATTTTGGCCAATTTCTCATTAAATGTGAGCTTTTGACCTAACATATAGTTTTCCTAATTCAGACATACCATAACTGCAATACAAATAACTTAGTCAAACATCATTTTACTCAACCATTGAAACCTATAAAATTATTTTCTGCTTTCTGCATGAAACATTTTGGCATTTGTTGTTTACCCATTTACAAGTTGTTATTGTTTTTGCAAACTTTAAGATATGGAGATCCTTGATATAGCAAAGTGTTTTTTATTTCTTCAAAAAGAGCAATTTAAAATATTTATTAGCTGTGTTTGGATTGAGTTTAGGAGGAAAATAAATGTTGCATGTACCAAGTCATAAAATGATTTATTGTAATTATAATGGAACCTCAAAAAGCTGTTCTATCATGATCAGTCATGATTATCTATACCATGATCAGAAGAAGAAATGTAAGCCGTTGTTACACAGATATGGAAAAACTAGGGATTAAAATAGGGATTAGCTATTAGGTTGAAAATAGGAAACATGAATGTGGAGGTTACATTTCAGTGGGTTAGGTATTTCATTAAACCAGAAATAACACAACAGACACCACTTAGAATGATACAACTGTATTGATTTGATCTAATATCCTAAGTTTTTGTCATTTGTTGTGATTGTTTGACAGCTTTACACAGTTTTATACCTTTTAGCTGTTTCTTCCCCTCTGTGTCTCCCCTTTAACTTTGTTTTAAGCACCCCACTTACACAAATTGAGTCTTTAGGCAAAGCTTTCACAAAGTGTTATTGACAGCACAAACTGGTAGCAAATCTATACAAGGTTATGCAGCGTATTTGCTTTAAATAAATGTGGCCATTTATCATATTAGATATTTTTATCACAAACATTTCTTTATTTTTATTTAAGCATTGTATTTAATTCCTGATGGTTATAAACCTGTGATAGTATTGTTCAGGTTGTCATTTCAAGTTACCTCAGTTTAGTCAAGAACAACAATAAATATTAATATGCAGTATTTTTTTTTTAAATGAAGAAAGACTGATTTGATAATGGGTAAAATTTACTATTGTTTTGTTTCAAGAGCATTATTTACTTATTATGAACATTTGAATAGAGAAACACATCTCTTGAGTTGTGTTTCAAGAGTATTTATGTATAACATACTTTATTATGGGCATTTTAAAAATTACTGCAATGAATATTAAAATATATACTGCCTATGTTTCACGTCCATATCACCAAATTCCTTTCTTACAAGAGGGTCGGAACTGATGTGAAGCAAATAAATTGGCTGTTTCAAGGTCACCAGTGTATTTCTTAGTACCATCACAAATCTCCATCACAAACTTCAAATAGACCAGAATTCAGACGACATCTTCTGTGAAAAAAGACTCTTAACTCCTGCCACTAGTACAGCGAATACTTTTATACAGTTAAATCACATATAGATGCAATCAGTTTCATTATATTCATATGCCAGTTTTCTTTCCTCTTTTTTGATCTACACAACCATTCAGCAGCAAAGCAGTTAAGTGTAGTTTTTGGCAGCCAAGCAGGCTTTTTATTTATCTATGAGGAAGGCACCCAGTCTAAAAGAGTGTGTCTTTGCGTGTGTGTTTTGGTTGCATGTGTTGATTTATGACAAATACTTAATGTAAACACATCCTGACATCCTTTTCCTCCTCCTCTTTGCCTTTGATGACTTTCATCCTCACATGCCTAAACTGCAAGAAGAACAGTCAGTTAGCTATACTAGGAGGGACTATTATTTTCAGATTGTTTTCTTTTTTTATGGTACTTGAGCTAAGTCAAGTGACCTATGTCTTCTTTTACTGTCTAATGATAAGTGACAACTGTCATGTTCTGTTAATACTTCATTAGAGCCTAGTTTCCATAGCTAAATAAAACCAGCAGATTAAAAAGCCGCAGGAATTCTTACAGCAATCCACTCAAAAAAATGCTTTACTAAAAGTTTAAGGTTATTCTGATTTCCACCCTTACCTGAATATTCATATAATCCAGCTTTAAGTTTTCCTCACTCCAAGTTAAAGTTGCATCCTGGTGTGTAGAGAGACTTGCTCCTTGTATTGTCTGATATTAAAAAAAAAAAAGGAATCCGCATGCAGTCAGCAAAGCGATGCCTCTTAATGAGTTCTCCACTCCATCGCTTTAAGTCTGAACTCATCTAGCATTTATTGATCCAACATACAGCTGAGCTGTGTTCTCCTGTTTTGGTTTTGCTGCTCCATGCTCACTCTATTGTAAAAACACGGCAGCCAGCAACCTTTCTGTCCTACCCTGTTTTGTCCTTTTTACCCCTTCACTCTCTCCTTTTCTAACCCCTTCTTTGTGCCACTGTCCTCCTTCCCAGCATGCATGTCCTGATCTACAGCTGGGTAAAGAGGAGGCAAAGGGGGAGAAGGAAAACAGACGAGAGAGAGAGAGAGAAAGAGAGAGGAAGTGACTTGCATCAGCAGAGTAGGGAGCGTCTATAAATTACCGTTCAATTTACATGAAGCATAAAAGCAAAGTGGCTAAAATAAATGGCAGAACAACACAGAACATTAAAAATGAAAAAAAAAAAAACACATCAGCAGGGATTTTGATTAACTTGTATACAGATTCAGAAATAAATTTCTTATAATCAGTTGTACAAACAGCATTAGGTTTGTTAGGTCAGTTATATCATTTGGCAACAATTACCAAATATTACATGAGTTTCTTAACAAATATATTTTTGTGCACTTCCTAGTTAGTAAAACCTTGGTAAGTGGATCATAAAACATAAAAAAGTGTGGCAGTTTAATTAAATTCAATTATATTCCTTGTATCTTGAAAGTCTTCACTGCACCTGTCATCCCATGCACTTTACAGAGACAGTTCAATCATATCCTACACTCAGACTTGTAAAAGTTTTGTTTGTTTTTTTAAATGCTTTTCACACCTGGACATGTTCAGTACTGAACATTTCTCTTAACTCTGTAGCTCCAAAATTAAATACAGTTTTTTTTAAAATATGTTATTGATTTTGACTTTATTACACATCTTTATAGGTAACTAAATCTAAATAATGTAAATATTGAAACAATTTATTTAGGTATGTTAACTTAACCTAACAGAACTAAAATGAACTAGATTGAATTGGACTTGGATTCAATGGAGAACATTTTTTTTCTTTTGCTTTGTTTTAAACACTGGCCTCAGATGACATTATTTATGAATTGATGCACTAATCTGAATTTTAATATAAAACAAACACTGTGTATATACAAATATAGATCTAGAAAGTGTAATTCAAAAAATTTTTTTCCCTTTATTCTGACAACCCTCAATAAAAATCCCAGGCAACCAACTGCATTTATATATCAATATTTCGGGATAATTTAGTCTCAATCGAATCCAGCTGCTCTAAGTCTCAGGTGATTTAGACAATGTCTATGTGTAAACAACATTTAGGTGACTTGGTGACATGCAAAAGTAGGAACATTTAAAGTAGGATTAGGTGATAGAAAAATACACCAAGATTCACAAATCTCACAGAAGACTGTTAAAAAGACTAATGATAAGAGTAACATGATTGCTTAGCCACACTCTCTGTTGCGCTTAAAAGCTTTATTGAAAGATATCGATCTGATTATTGATTGATTGAACTGGTGAAATACTTTTGGCAAGTTAAACAAGCTAGTGGCAGAAATTGGTTAAAACCCAGCAGTACAGAAGACAGGCAGTACAGTCTAGCAGTTTGGACGAACCTCAACAAGACAATCTGGCAGAAATAGATTGTGAGACACCAGAATAAATGGACAGGACAAACCTTGGGAGCAATAATGTTGATTAGGAGAGAGGTGTCTACAGGTGGAGCATCGGCTGTCCTTATACATGGAAAACTTACTACTCTACCATCTATAATGTCGTGAGACTGCTAAACCGTTCTGGTAAATTTTCGGGATACAAGTTGTACTTTCAAAAAAGTGAATGTTTTCCGATTAACGACCCCCGCACATCAAATTACAGAAACTGATTTGCCCTTCCCTCTCTCTAGAACAGGATTCCCAGATTTGGGAATCAATGCGATGCATTCTTTTTCTGATTTGTTTGAAAAAAACTCTCCCCTCTGCTTAAGAATGTTAAACGCAACCTCCAGAAGTGGAGTGTCATAAATGTATCTCTAGCTGGTAAAGTAGCATGTATTAAAATTAACACCTTGCCAAGATTTATGTATCTCTTTCAGAGTATTCAAGCTTTTTTCCCGAAATCATTCTTTAGAGATATCGATAAACAGCTATCCTTGTTCATATGGAGTAATAAACACCCTAGAATCAGTAGCTGTTTCCTTCAGAGACTCAAGGAAGAGGGGGGTATGGCTGTACCTAACCTGCTTTATTAGTACTGGGCAGCAAACCTACAAAAGTAGTCTGTTTGCTCCATCAACCAGATGTTGACTGGTGCCAATTAGAACTGAATGCATGTAAGCCATCATCTTTCCATGCATTAGTTACCTCAAAGCTTCCTCTCTCTCCTAAGCAACATTCTTAATGCCCAGTTGTAAATATGGTCACAATTCACGCTTCAAAATGACAAATTTCTCTATCTACAGACCCATATGTGATGACCATGCTTTCCCGCCATCCATATTAGATTCTGTCTTTGCCCACTGGCAGAGAGCAGACTTAAGAAAATATAGCGACCTATATATAGATGGTGTTTTCGCTACCTTTGATGCTATCTCCGCTAAATTTAGTTTACAGCATTCCTCCCTATTTCGATATCTCCAGATTCGAGACTTTGTTCGCAATGTCAGTCCTTGTTTTCCCAGTTTACCCCAAAATGGAGGGATAGATATAATTTTGCTATTAGGTTTTAATTTCTCATCTCCAAAATGTATAATAACATGAGTATGATAACTCATCACCCAATACAGTACAGATCAATGAGATCAGAGCAGATTGTTCAGAAGAACTTGGAATACACATCTCTGATGAGAGCTGGAATCACGCATTACGTAGAGTAAATGTGTCAACTTCATGCGCTCGACTTGGACTTATTCAGTTCAAGGTCCTTCATAGGATTCATTACAGAAGAGTTAGACTCTCAAGGATTTATTCTACATTCAGTGAAACCTGTGCTTGGTGCCATATAGCTAAGGCAAATTTAACTCACATGTTCTGGTCATGTAACAAATTGTGCAACTTCTGGTCCACAATTTTTCAGTTCATATCTGAAGCCTTTGTAATGGGTATCCAACCAAGTGTTGAATTGGCAATATAAATTGGAATTCAAGGGGAGGGTATATCACTAACACATGATTTTAAAAATGTACTGGCTTTTTTAACTCTCCTAACCTGAAGAAGAATACTATTAGCATGGACATCAGAACAACCACCCAAGGCTTCTCTTTGGTTGAAAGATCTGTCTCTGTTCCTTAAGTTAGAGAAGATCAAATATTGTGTTAGAGGTTTTGGTCCAAAAATCTGATACAACTTGGGCGCCTCTATTATCTTATTTTAAGAGACTGGATGCCCTCCCTCGAGCCTGAGTGTCACACAGGTGCTGGCTCTGCTGTGTGTGTACCTGTGCCCCCGGCCCTGCGGCCTCGGTGGTCCCTTGTGGTTTTGGCTGTTGAAAGTGATTGTCAATCTGTATAGTTTTAAGTATCCATGTCCTGTCTTGGTTTGTGTGCCCAGTGCCTGTGCGGATTCTTGTTTATATGCAGCCCACGTTTTTGAGTTCTGTCTCAGCCTTCCGGGTTTTCATGCTGGTGGTTTTCCAGCTGTATAATTAATAAAAAAAAAAAAAAAAGGAGAAAGGTGTCTGCTCCCTCTAGTATTTAAAAGCAGAGTAGATAGTGATGAATCAGCCCCAAAACATCAAAACACAGGCTGGATGGAAATCGATTGAGCGCTCTTTAAATTTACCCTTGAAGTAAGAGTTGCAAAAAGTAAAAATGTAATTGTTGAAAGAAAGACATAAGACATATTGTTTATTATTTGCCCTGAACCTTTAACAGCCAAAGTGATAAAACTTACTCAGCTCAGAAAAGACTGGAATTGAACTTTTTGGTCTATATGCAGGGCTGCACAGTGGAGAAGTGGCTAGCTCTGGTGTCTTGCAGCAAGAAGGTTATGGGTTAGACCCCCAGGTCTTTCTGCATAGAGTTTGAATGTCTCCCTGTGCATGCATGGGTTATTTTCAGGTACTTCAGCTTCCTCCCACAATCCAAAAAACATGATTGGCATCTCTAAATTCTCTTTACATGTGAATGTGTGCATGAATGGTTGTTTGTCTGTGTTGCCCTGCAATAGACTGGCGACCTGTGCAGGGTCTACCCCGCCTCTCACCCATTGATAGCTGGAGGTAGGCAACAGCACCCCTCGTGACCCTAGCAGGGATAAGCTTGATGGAAAATGGATGACTAAGTGGTCTATGTGCAGCACTGTGTGATAAAAAACTTAGTGAAAAAATATTCACAGTAAAAAAATTTAAGCAAATTAAGACTTTTATATGACTTTTATTTGTGGGATATAAAAATAAGATTATTTAAAATGACACAGCAAGTCAACACTGAAAAAAAAACAAAGTGCTCTCACCTTGTTGAGAAGAATAAATAAATATAAACTGTACGTGTCATGTAACTTTCCTTAGACCTATTATTGTTAGAAGTAAAACTACAGTATAGCATTTTTATAATGTGCTGTATTAAATAGGTCTCTGAGCTGACTGATGTGCAGCATTTTGTAGCCTGCTCTTAAATTCCATTCCTGGATCCCAGAGGAGCAAAAGGCTGATTTTCTGGGAAAGAATATCACCTCATAGCTGCTGGGTTGTCGGTTACATAATATAATATCAGCAAAAATGCCTTGAACACTGCTTTACTGGCGCTGTGAAAGTTTTCTGTCTGGTGTGTATACATTATTTATTAATGCATTTTATGAACAATCTTCCTCAGTATCAGCAGTCTTTTTCTTTTCTGTGCAGTTAACTTTTGGCGTGTGTCTGTGTCTCTTTGGAGTGATGCTCTGTAGCTGCAGTTAGTGGCAGTAGGCAGCAAATGAGGGAACCAGGTGGAGCTGAAGCAGCAGTTTTTTCAGGTTAATTATAAAACACTGTAAACAGAGACCAGTCCACACCTGCAGACCAACACAAGTGGACCAGTCGCAAAGCACCAACTCTACATCCAACAACAGTCACTGTTTTACAAAAATACTCCATTCTGTTAATTATGTCTACATGTTAAATAAAATATGAATTACGGATGCCTTGCAAAAGCAAGACTGGCCTGTTAATTGCACTTAATTAATTCAAACATTATTACTCTTAAACCTTTCTTAACCACGGCTTAACTTAGA